AAAAAAAGAATGTAATGAAGGTCTGAACTCTTAGGATTCAGAGCTAAGGCTTAGAGAGCTGGGAGTCGTAAGTGGCAGGACTGGGGACTGCTAATCCCCCGGGGAAACAGGGGGAGCCCAAGACACTTCTCACTTGGGATCCTTGGAGGTCCAACTTCCCAGCTGTGTGGCCTTGGGCAGGTTGCTTCACCTCTCCTAACCTCAGTTTTTGCACCTGTAAGTCAGAGCTGACCCTTTCAGGGCTGTAGGGAGCATGCCTCGCCAGGCACGTTTCACACATGCTGAGCGTTCAAATAAATGTTGGTTTTGCGTATATGCCTATCGTGGATATATAGTTACACACACTTTTTCTCAGAAGCTTCCTGATTGTCTAAGGACTACAAATAGCTAGAATTTCATGGCTCTTTAGAATTTACAGTTGGCCAAGGGTTCATTGTCACTACATGTGACCCTCCCAACAACATGAGGGGGGCTTTCTTACCCCTATTTGAGAGACGAAGAGAAACAAAATCTTCGCCTGTGTCTCCCTTGACCCGCCCTTGAACCCAGGACTGGGGAGGCCAGTGGGGGGACCTATGGGTCCTGTGGCCTTCCCGGCCCCCTTCTACCTTTCCAGGCAAAGGCCATTTTAGGAGAGAGTGGAAGCCTGGGACAGAATAACAATAACAACAACAACAACAACAACAACAACAACAACAATGTGTTTACCCTGTTCTAAGAACTTTACATGCGACATTGAAACTTCACCACCATCGCATGATCCGGCCCATTTTACAGATAAGACAACTGAGGCGCAGAGCCGATAGCTGACTTGCCGGTGGTCACAGGAAGTTCGTGCAGACCCAGGATCGAGGAGCTGGCGGCCTGGCCAGGCCCCAGAGTCTGTGTCCTTGGCTCCTCTGCTGTACGGCCTGGGCTGGCACAGAAACGGGCTCAGGGCAGGAAGGGTGTGTGTCCGGATGGGCCGAGGGTTGACCTGTGATGAAACACTCCTCCAGGAGGACTCAGCGGGAGGGCACACGTCAACGGGGGACACTGATGAACTCAATTCCTAGTAGACTGAGGGGGCGGATGGACAGACAGGCCCAGAGGTTGTCAGCACCACTCTGTGCTGCTTTGGGCCCGGCCAACCCCCATCCCTGCCCGGAGACGGTGAGACATGGCCTGTGACCCCGAGCCACTCCAGCCCGGCCGGAGAGCCAGACATGACGTTATCTGTGTCCAGTGCCTTTCTGGAGACGCGATGCAAAGTGCTCTCCACCCTCCTCTTGGGGCTCAGACGCCTCCCCTGTTGGCAGCGGGGGAGGGGGTGCAGAGACAGCCTGGCACATTCCCTCATTCTCTGAACTCCGAGCTGTCCTTGAAAACTCAGCTCAGATCCCGCCTGCCCTGAGAAGCACAGGACTGGTGCCCAGGCTGGGGAGCACCCCCTCCAGGCTTCTTCGGGCTTCCTGGCCTTGCCCCAGCTCACCTCTGTCTTGTGCCCTGTGATTGGCCGTGAGGTCCTGTGGGGCGGGATCCTGGGGAAGCCATTTCCTTGTCCCCGGGGCCTGCACAGCCCGGCACAGGGAATGTGGACATGGTCATTTCTTCCTCGAGGACACGCTTGGTGGCTGTCATCAGACCGTGATTTCTGGGGCAGCGTGTAGGCATGGCGACCGCCGTGGTTCTGCAGACCTCGTTCAAATTCTGATTCCCCCACCCCCTGCCTGGATGGATGTCTTGGGCGAGCGTTCTCATCTCCCTCAGCCTTGTCGGTGCCCGTCATGGGGCCAAAGCAAGGGCATCCATAGTAAATGCTCAGCACGGTCCCTGGCCTCCATTGTTATCACGAGCACCAGTCACATTCCCCCCAGTTATGGGGGGCGGGGGGAGCCATATTCGGCCCACCTTCTGTTTGCATTCCAGGGTCACAGGAAGCCCCCCGGGACCCCTCACTGGGCACCTCTGGAATATTCTCCCAGCCTGCAGTATGGCATGACACCCAAGCAGGATGGTGCTTTAATTCTGAATCCCTTGAGCCCAGGGCCCTCAATGGGATTTTCCAAGTGGCTTTTATTTAATAAAAGCAAAAGATGACTTTTCTGCAATAAAATACCACCTCAAACCCATTAAGGACCAGTAATGCATTTATATGGTGGAAGGTCAGCGTTATTTATAACAAAGCATCGACTGGCAGTCTCACCGGCTGAGCTTCTGGTTTGGTTCCCATTCGTCAGGATGGGGAGAGCCTGGGTGGTGGAAAGTGCATGGGCTCTGGGCTGTCGGAGCCCTGGGTTCCAATCCCGCGGTTTACCCCAGGCCCTAACTGAATCACTAATATTTTTTGATCATGTGCCAGCACTGAAGCAACGTGCCGTATTTCTGATGCCTGTAATTTTTACACCCATTCTGTTTGGTAGTGAGTATTCCCATTCTATTGATGACGAAACTGAGGCTCCGAGAGGAGAAGTTGTGTATCCAAAGCCACAGAGCTGGTAGGTGGCCAAAGCTGGGTTTGAACCATGCCCGTGAGACCACCTCCAAGACCTCCCAAACTTGCAAACTCCCCAGACTCTCAGTCTGTTCTTCCTTAGGTTGGGAAAATACCCAACAACGTTGTTATGGGAAGTGGGGAAAATACCCAACAGCGTTGTTATGGGAAGTATGGTAGGTGCTCGGTGAATGCATTTGTGTCTGTCTCCTCACCGGGCTGTTGTGACAGCAGGTCTGTGTGTGATCCGCGACACCCACAGGGCCCAGGGAATGCCAAGTGAGCAGGACGCTTCTCTCTCTGGGCCTCAGTTTCCCAGATCCCAAACAAGAATCACAACACCTGCCTCAAAGAGCCCCTGGAAAGACAAACTAAGGGAATCATAGTTCTTGGCACATCGTGGGTGCTCAGGACCGTTCCTTTTCTGTCTTCTGGGTGCCTCGAGTGTTCTGGGTCTGCCCTGGCAGAAGATTTGCATCGAACCATCCACATGCTCTCCCCTGTGCCTTCCCTGCACCCACCCCTGACTCAGAGTCTCATCTGTGGATGTGCTTGGGTGGGGAGGAGGTGGGGGTTGAGATGAAGGGTCCAGCCGTTAATCTGGGTTCACGGGGCTCTGTCACCTTCCAGCCTCCAACCTCTGCTTTCTCCTCTGTAAACTGGGAGTAATGACAATAGATTGTATCTGTGGCTCTGAGTGCACCCAACCCCTGGCTCTTGGACCTGGGTCCAACCACTGCCTCCTCATCTTTCCTGCAGGTGTTCCTAGCTGTGCCCTGGGACCGATTGGCCAAGGACCCCACTGGAGAGCTTTGGACACCCTAACAGTGAACGGTGAGGGACTTTTGCAGTCTGAACAAATGTCCAGAGGGCACCCGTGGGGGACCCGTGACGAGGTAGGGGCACTGGAGGATGCCAGCACAGCTGTCTCCTGGGTTTTGGAAACATGGCTGGAGCCACGTCCACAGCGTTTTTCACCCCTCCTTCATGGCCCTCAGCATCATTGCAGTTCTGCCATGATTTGAGGAGCTTGATGAATGTTCTCTCCCTCAGTGGACTGTAAGGGGAAGGGGAGGGTCCCCGAGAGGCAGCGACCATGGTTGTCAGGAGGATAGACCCTGAAGCTGGGGTCTGACTCGTGGCCCCGCCTCCTCTCAGCTGTATGACCTTGGGTAAGTGACTTCAGCTCCTTAGACCTCCGTTTTCCCATCTGTACCATGGGCTTTGTGGTGAAGCAAGTAGTTAAGCAGTCAAGATACTACGCCGGCCCGGCTCAGTGTCAGGCAGGACACTGTCGGTCTTGCTGGTGTTGGTCAACCTCTTAGAGCCAGTTCCCCTAACGACTCCTGTCTCTGCTCACAGAGAATGGGGGACAAGGATTACAACACCTCCTTCTCCTACGACGAGGAGTACTCGGATGATTTTGAACCCATCGTGGTTTTGGAGGAGTCTTCTCCCCTGGAAGGCAAGGTGACCAGGATCTTCCTGGTGGTGGTCTACAGCATTGTCTGCTTCCTCGGGATCCTGGGCAACGGGCTGGTGATCATCATCGCCACCTTCAAGATGAAGAAGACGGTGAACACCGTCTGGTTCCTCAACCTGGCCGTGGCGGACTTCCTGTTCAACGTCTTCCTCCCGATCCACATTGCCTACACCGCCATGGACTACCACTGGGTCTTCGGGACGGCCATGTGCAAGATCAGCAACTTCCTGCTCATCCACAACATGTACACCAGCGTCTTCCTGCTGACCGTCATCAGCTTCGACCGCTGCATCTCCGTGCTCCTTCCCGTCTGGTCCCAGAACCACCGCGGCGTGAGGCTGGCCTGCGTGGCCTGCGTGGTTATCTGGGTCCTGGCTTTCTTCCTGAGCTCTCCGTCCCTCGTCTTCCGGGACACGGCCCACGTGCATGGGAAAACGTCCTGCTTTAACAACTTCAGCCTGTCCGCGGCCGGCTCCGCCCCGTGGCTCGCTCGCTCCGGGCTGGACCCCGCGGGCCTCAGCCGCCACACGGTGGTGACGGTCACCCGCTTCCTCTGTGGCTTCCTGGTCCCCGTGCTCATCATCACGGCCTGCTACTTCACCATCGTCTGCAAGCTTCGACGCAACCGCCTGGCCAAGACCAAGAAACCCTTCAAGATCATCGTGACCATCATCACCACCTTCTTCCTCTGCTGGTGTCCCTACCACACCCTCTACCTGCTGGAGCTCCGCCACGCCACCGTGCCGGGCTCCGTCTTCAGCCTGGGTTTGCCCCTGGCCACCGCCATTGCCATTGCCAACAGCTGCATGAACCCCATCCTGTACGTCTTCGTGGGCCAGGACTTCAAGAAGTTCAAGGTGGCCCTCTTCTCCCGCCTGGTTAACGCGCTGAGCGAGGACACAGGCCACTCCTCCTACCCCAGCCACAGGAGCTTTACCAAGATGTCATCCATCAACGAGAAGGAGACCAGCATGCTCTGAGCCTCATCCGGGAACCCCCGCTGGACAGGCACTCCGGCCTCGGAGGCCCAGAGCTATGCCTTCCAAAGACCACCGCAGAAACCCCCTTCAGCACCCACCAACGCCTGCTAGAGTTTACACGGGGCTGACCAGTGCTTTGAGCTGGGAGTCCAGGGCTCGGAACTCCGTCCTCCGAGGGGCGTGGCTGACCGGGCAGGCCAGGGACCGGCATCCCATGCTTCTTGGGAGACCTGCCTTGGCTGACCCAAAGCAAAAAAGGGAGCATTCTTAAAAGCGCTGCCATGAACCGGGATCAGCATAAGACAGAGGGATTAAGCTACCTATTCCGTGCTCCCCTGGAATCACAAACACGCCACGGGGCGTATTCCTGGCCTGAGCAGCAGAGGTCAGGGCCAACCCAGTGTGATGCAAATCGCCGCCTCGCCCCACATGCCTGTGTCACTGGCCAGGCAGAAATCCTGCCGCCCGCCCGCATCATTCCTCCGGGTGAGGGCAAGTGGAGATGCACAGGTTACCTGGGAGAGGAAGGTGACACAGGCACTCGCGAACTGCCAGGACCACGCACCTGGCTTTCAGATCAGGTGGGAAGACAGAGGACAGGTCCTGAGGAGCCCTGTGGGCTCCGTGAGGGCAGGACATGTGGGGCCTGGGGGAAGGGGTGGAGAGAGTGGTGACCGTGCTCTGAAGATGCGGGCCGTGGGACGGCAGGCGCGGAGCCCCTCCTGGCGCGGCCATGCTGTCTTTTCTCACCTGGGACTGACGCCTCCCTGTGCCACAGTGTCCTTGTCCCATTTACAGGTGGCAAAGCTGAGGCTCAGGGAGGGTGGGGAGGAACTCGCCCACTGACACACAGCCGGCAAGAGGCAGAGGTAAGATGTGAAGCCAGCTCTGTCCGGCCCCGGAAGCTCTGTCTTGTTGTTGTTTGTTTTCAATGGCTAATGTATCTATTGAGAATATTCTAGACTGTAACGGTAGCCTACATTTATTTAGTGCTCCCTATGCTAAACTTATTCCTCCCAGCAGCCTTGACTTCCCAGTTATTACTTCCCTTTTACATATGAGGTATCTGAAGCTCAGAGAGGTTAAGTAACCTCCCTGAGGGCGTCCAGCCGGTCCCTGTCAGAGCCAGCATTGGGAACTAGGTCTATCTGACTCAAATAAGGCCTCAGGATCAGGGTTTTGAGAGAGGCTTGGGGTTTTGACCACAAATATTGATTCTTCAGCAGATTAATCTAAACATTTCCTTGGCCTATACATCAGCTTTGCAAATAGTTTTTGAAAACGACCCAACATGGCAGAGAAAATACTCTTGGCCTCCAGTTCCCTCGACATCCATCCACACGCGCCCGCCGTGGTTCCCAGCTCCTGCGCCCCCTGAGACCTCCGGGAAGGCAGTGGGGAGAGAGAGGATGGGCAGGAGGTAGTCGTCGGTGGGCCGGGGGCCCTTGGCCTCCCAGCGTCCACGCTCTCTTCCAAACGCCATCATCGTGAAGCCAATCCTCCGACAAGATGCAATGAACAGATGTAATGTCTACACGGCGCTGGGCAAGTTCCCGAGGCCCCGGGCTGTTTGGAAATCACACCTCATTAAGAGACAGACTGTTCCTTCCCTTCTTGGGTCATTGTGCTTATGATGAGGCAGCTCTGAAGTGACCCTAAGCCAGGGCGCCCAATGGCTTCAAGAAATCTGAACTTGGACCGGCTGGGAGCAAACACAGGGAACTTTAAATATTGCCCCGTGCCCCTCGTCATCCCCCAGCCCCGGCCCCAACTTCACAAGGGAAGCAACGAGATGGCATGGGACGTCTTCCAGACCCCAGAGACGGTCACCAGCCACGCAGGCTCTGACCCCCAGGTGATACTTGTTCAGGCGGGTCCCTCACTCCTCCTGGGC